GCCACGGTTCAATATCTATGCAACTCGTCTGTCTGCGTGTAAAATGTGCAAATTACCTAAAAGAACCGCAGACGAACACAACGAGACCACAAAACAAATTTAAATAGACATATTTTTTTCGCCGACCAGCTTCCCAGGCCCCTATTTTCTGCCCTAACCGTCGATATTTCTTTACTGTTTTTACGATTTTTCAGTTGTTGTTTTTGGTGTCGAATATCCCGGCGTAAAATGTTGGCTGCAGCTGCAAATTGGTGTGGTTTTTTCAAGGGTCTCTCCCGGTCGCCCATTCGCGCGGTTCGTGTTTTATTTGTATTTTAGCGTTAAAACAAATTGAGGTCCTGCTCTAAACGGGTCCTGCACAGGATGCCCCATCCATCGACCGTCATCAACGGAGCGGCCGAGCATCCATTGTTATGTTATTGCGTGTGGCCTACAACTTTATGGTTAGATAGATGCATGAGATGCGGATGCAGGAAATGAAATTGATCAGGAAGAGCTGGGAGTGAGTGGAAATATATAATTGGATGAAAACGATGAGAACATTTTTCCTTATGTATCCTAGAGCTTGTTCTGTCTCTTATTAATTTATGTTTAAAAGCAATTGAGTAATATTTAAAAGCATTATTACATAATTCAGCTGCTACTGTGGCTTTGTAACTAATCAAATAATACATTTAGAGGTGTTCACAATTGATTATTATAGATTTATTGTCTTTGCCAAAATGTACCTTCTCGTTGCTGCTGATTTTCTAAACATCAAGTGAAACGGAATAGTTGATTTGATATTACTCTATTATTATTATTTTAAACTAATCGGAGGGTTTTAGTCAGTTTATCATAGTATGGCCGAATAAATTTTGTAACAAACGGAATACATTTTCAATTTTCCCTTCCGCTGGAAAAGCCTCTCTCTCTCTCTCTCTCTCTCCTCTCTCTCTCTCTCCCACCCAATTGAATCTTTTTTGTAGCGTGCGCCGGAGTAAATAAAAATGCAGCTACAACAGGGACATTCCAGGATGAAATGCATGGGCTCTGGGTGTTTCCACTTGTAGTTATGTTTGGTTATTTAAGAGCGATTCAGCCAAGTTTTAGATATGTATATATTTGCGTACATATGCATATATGTATGCGTTGATAACAGCCATCTAGTGGCCAGTGGCCAGTAGCCAGCATCCATTCACCCATCCGATCTGTGGATAAAATTCGGTTGATGCCGCCTGATGGACTTTTATTTGTGGCCCGTCCATCACTAAGCCAAGGGAAATTGTTTTGAGTTTTAATAGATAACGTTGACGTATAGATTGTGTAATGTTCAGTCAACAATAAAATCGCAGCAGGCAGGGTTTAATTTACAAGTGTGGCTCAAAATTATCGCCTGAGTGCCACTGGCCAACAAGTTTGAAGTTCGACTACATATGCGCATATACAGTGGGCCAATCATTGAGGGGAGAAGCTTAAAGATGCGGCTCTATTGATACTCAAGTCCCTGGTGAACCCGGCTCTCGAGTTACTTGGCCATTCTGTTAACCAACTTTCGTCTGCATCAACCGCCCTCGACTGGGCAAGGTCAAGCACTTAACTTCGAGCAGCAGCATGTTGAAAACTTTGCTTTCATCAAAAGGCTGCTCAATATGCACTTAACCGCAAGCCCGGCCACTTTGACTAGACTTCGGACAGTTGTAGAGCAGGCTCCGCACTATAAGTTGGCATATAGACGGATACATATATATTTAAGCCACTGTGACATTTATGATGCGGACATTGCCGAATCTGTGTCAGGGATAACTGCGGAAGGGTTCTCTGCTCCCGGACGGTGGCCCTGCTCCTGGTCGTGGTCGTAGTCCTGGACCATCCCGACCATCTCCTTCTCCGGCGAGTCATCATAATTTATGCACTTTGTGCCGCAGCCTGCAGTGACCAAATTACAATTATGACACCGCAAAAGGTTTTCTGGTGCACAACAAAACGCCCATCCGACGAGCAGGGCTACGGAGACTCGTCCATAAATGTTTAACATGATTAACCAACCAGCCAGTCAGCTTTGCTGCAGTGTAAACAAAGGAGACAGATGAGAAGAATGGCCACAATGTTGGCTACTGGTTGTTGAAATGTTTTCTTCAGTCTGCTTGCCTTTTTCGGCTTATCTAAAGTTGGAAGAGTTAATAACACAGGACGGAGAGTTACTCATAATTTGAAAATGTATTTTATAAAGGTTGCTCTTTAATTTTAAGAAATGTATTTAAAGGCTTTAAAGATTAATTAGAGAATGATTGTTGACCCAGACTTGACCAAGGGTGCTCTACTGATGGCTGAAATGGGCCAAAAGTATTCGAAGTATTCGAAAATCATGTCTGAGCTTTAGAGCCAGATAATATCATTCACTTAGGATTTACTACGTGGCCTTGAAAATAGACGGTATTTTCATCCCGAATAATGTATGCAAATGGATGATCGGCTTTGAATTTCATTAATATCTCTTCTGGTCTTGAATTTACCGACAGCGGTATTATAAATTTAACCACTTGCAATTAAAGAAATTTACTTGATAAAAAACGAAAATTTAACGGAAATCTACCCTTACCTGTGACAGCCGCTGCCTCTGCGCCTCTTCATTGACCTCAACGAAGGCTTTTGTAAGACTTTATCGATATGGATTTGTGATTTTGCACAAGGCCTTCAAAGTTTGCACTGTCACTGAACGCCTTTCGAATGCCCAACTGTAGGTAAGGAAACAATAGCATAAGCTCCTAAAAATCACATTCAAGACATACTCACCCTTTTAAGATAACCATTTAATTCCTTTTCAACTCGATTTGAACTTTGGCAGTTCGACATACACACTCCTTTCGTACAATTGTCTAGAGAATCCTATTATCTTATCCTCCAATTCGCTGAGCCCATCCACCTTGTTGGGCAGAAGATGAGCATCGACAGACTGGAGTTTCGATATGGCATTCGATCACTTTGGCATCCAAGTCATACAAATAATCTGCTTTAAACGTACCACGCATGGTCATCATTGTGACAGGTATACGTTCCGTGTCGGATATTTTAAAATCTTTTTGTTTGCTTAACTCTTTGTTAAATTTGTACTTCCATTGACCTTTGAAATAAATGGCATTCAGGAGCAAAGCTCTTAGATCAGTGCTCATGTCTTCAGGGTAACCACCTCGTTGATCTTGCCACGTGTCTGATTCGACACCCACTCGTTTACGATGTCAGCTGCATTTTTGCATTGCTAACACTGATCGGAACAGCTTCGGCCTGAAAGGAGTTTCTCAATACTTCATTATACTCGGGGACCAGACTATATTCGTTATTAATGTATATCCGGTTAGCCAAATCGAGAATCACATCCTTTTCCCGCCCTGGAGATCGCTAAGGAGTTTTCTGTACTTGCTGGCCACCTGCTTTTGTCCATCGGTAGTTTCAAAGCGGTTCGTAGTTCGTCAGCGGTCTCCCCTTCAGCTCCATGTACGCCATGGCCATAGCTATCTCACGGAGAGCGGAGAGGAATAAGATTCTTCTGGGCATTATCCTTGGCTAAGAGTCGATAAAAGTCTTCCGTGAACCGGCCAGCCACTGACGTGGCCACAAATGAGACCTGATAAAAAGTTATTGTCTGGAATGACTTGGAATTGGATTTTCTACTCACACAAGTATTTCATTTTAAACTATGATGGAAACGTTTTGAAGATACATCGGGCAGAACTCTGTATAAATACCCATTGGTGTAATCTAGTTAGATATGGAGATTGAACATGGAACATTTCCGTAAGAATCAATTATAGATTTCTATATCCAAGCTTTTAACCGAAACGTCGTTGAACTTAAATGTGCAATCGTCTTTTTATCTTACGTCGTAAGAGTACAAATTTTGGGCATTTAACAACTTAAGAAACTGGCCATTTAATTCCACAGTAACTCCAGTCTGTTACCAGACTCCGGTTGAATTCCAACCGCTTATCGCCGAGCTTCTCTCCCACGTGTGTCATACAAAATATCTTTAGACTGATGGCATTTCTAAAGAATTCATTTTTATTTAATTTTAGGAGAGTATTTTGATTTTGTCTTAGAAATGGCCAGAAATGTCAGCAAATGGCTACTGGTTGTTGAAAATGTTTCCTTCTGCCTTCTTGCTTTTTCGGGCTTAATCTAAAGTTGGAAGAGTTAATAACACAGGACGGAGAGTTACTCATAAATTTGAAATGTATTTTATAAAGGTTGCTCTTTAATTTTAAGAAATGTATTAAAAGGCTTTAAAGATTAATAGAGAATGATTGTTGACCCAGACTTGACCAAGGGTGGTTTACTGATGGCTGAAATGGGCCAAAAGTATTCGAAGTATTCGAAATCATGTCTGAGCTTTAGAGCCAGATAATATCATTCACTTAGGATTTACTACGTGGCCTTGAAATAGACGGTATTTTCATCCCGTATAATGTATGCAAATGGATGATCGGCTTTGAATTCCATTAATATCTCTTCTGGTCTTGACAGCGCTTTTATAAAGTTAACCACTTGCAATTAAAGAAATTTACTTGATAAAAAACGAAAATTTAACGGAAAATCATACCCTTACCTGTGACAGCCGCTGCCTCTGCGCCCTCTTCATTGACCTCAACGAAGGCTTTTTGTAAGACTTATCGATATGGATTTGTGATTTTGCACAAGGCCTTCAAAGTTTGCACTGTCACTGAACGCCTTTCGAATGCCCAACTGTAGGTAAGGAAACAATAGCATACCTCCTGAAATCACATTCAAGACATACCACCCTTTCAAGATAACCATTTAGTTCCTCTTTAAACTCGATTTGAACTTTGGCAGTTCGACATACACACTCCTTTCGTACAATGGTCTAGAGAATCCTATTATCTTGTCCTCCAATTCGCTGAGCCCATCCACCTTGTTGGGCAGACAGATGAGCATCGACAGACTGGAGTTTCGATATGGCAATTCGATTACTTTGGCATCCAAGTCATACATAATCTGCTTTAAACGTACCACGCATGGTCATCATTGTGACAGGTATACGTTCCGTGTCGGATATTTTAAAATCTTTTTGTTCGCTTAACTCTTTGTTAAATTTGTACTTCCATTGACCTTTGAATAAATGGCATTCAGGAGCAAAGCCCTTAGATCAGGTCTCATGTCAGCAGGGGTACCACCTCGTTGATCTTGCCACGTGTCTGATTCGACACCCACTCGTTTACGATGTCAGCAGCATTTTTTGCATTGCTAACACTGATCGGAACAGCTTCGGCCTGAAAGGAGTTTCTCATACTTCATTATACTCGGGGACCAGACTATATTCGTTATTAATGTATATCCGGTTAGCCAAATCGAGAATCACATCCTTCTCCCGCCCCTGGAGATCGCTAAGGAGTTTTCTGTACTTGCTGGCCACCTGCTTTTTGTCCATCGGTAGTTTCAAAGCGGTTCGTAGTTCGTCAGCGGTCTCCCCTTCAGCTCCCATGTACGCCATGGCCATAGCTATCTCAACGGAGAGCGGAGAGGAATAAGATTCTTCTGGGCATTATCCTTGGCTAAGAGTCGATAAAGTCTTCCGTGAACCGGCCAGCCACTGACGTGGCCAACAAAATGAGACCTGATAAAAGTTATTGTCTGGTATGACTTGGAATTGGATTTTCTACTCACACAAGTATTTCATTTGAAACTATGATTGAAACGTTTTGAAGATTCATCGGGCAGAACTCTGTATATATACCCATTGGTTTAACCAAGTCAGATATGGAGATTGGACATAGAACATTTTCCGTAAGAAATCAATTATAGTTTTCTATATCCAAGCTTTTAAACCGAAACGTCGTTGAACTTAAATGTGCAATCGTCTTTTTATCTTACGTCGTTAAGAGTACAAATTTTGGGCATTTAACAACTTAAGAAACTGGCCAATTTAATTCCACAGTAACTCCAGTCTGTTACCAGACTCCGGTTGAATTCCAACCGCTTATCGCCGAGCCTCTCTCCACCACGTGTGTCATACAAAAATATCTTTAGACTGATGGCATTTCTAAAGAATTCATTTTTTATTTCATTTTAGGAGAGTATTTTGATTTTGTCTTAGAAATGGCCAGAAATGTTAGCAAATGGCTACTGGTTGTTGAAATGTTTCCTTCTGCCTCTTGGCTTTTTCGGGCTTAATCTAAAGTTGGAATGAGTTAATAAAACAGGACGGAGAGTTACTCATAAATTGAAATGTATTTTATAAAGGTTGCTCTTTAATTTTAAGAAATGTATTTAAAAGGCTTTAAAGATTAATTAGAGAATGATTGTTGACCCAGACTTGACCGAGGGTGGTCTACTGTGGCTGAAATGGGCCAAAGTATTCGAAGTATTCGAAAATCATGTCTGAGCTTGGAGCCAGATATATCATTCACTTAGGATTTACTACGTGGCCTTGAAAATAGACGGTATTTTCATCCGAATAATGTATGCAAATGGATGATCGGCTTTGAATTCAAATAATATCACTTCTGGTCTTAAATTTACGGAATGCCGTTTGAAAATTTCAACCACTTGCAATTAAAGAAATTTACTTGATAAAAACGAAAATGTAACGGAAATCATACCCTTACCTGTGACAGCCGCTGCCTCTGCGCCCTCTTCATTGACCTCAACGAAGGCTTTTTGTAAGACTTTATCGATATGGATTTCTGATTTTGCACAAGGCCTTCAAGTTTGCACTGTCACTGAACGCTTTTCGAATGCCCAACTGTAGGTAAAGAAATAATACCATAAGCTCCTGAAAATCACATTCAAGACATACTGACCCTTTTAAGATAACCAATTAGTTCCTCTTCAAACTCGATTTTGAACTTTGGCAGTTCGACAAGCACATTCCTTTTGTACAATGGTCTAGAGAATCCTATATCTTGTCCTCCAATTCGCTGAGCCCACCCACCTTGTTGGCAGAAAGATGAGCATCGACAGACTGGAGTTTCGATACGGCAATTCGATTACTTTGGCATCCAAGTCATACAATAATCTGCTTTAAATGTACCACGCATGGTCATCATTGTGACTGGTATACTTCCGTCTCACATTTTTAAATCTTTTTGTTCGCTTAACTCTTTGTTAAATTTGTACTTCCATTGACCTTTGAATAATGGCATTCAGGAGCAAAGCCCTTAGATCAGGTCTCATGTCAGCAGGGTAACCACCTCGTTGATCTTGCCACGTGTCTGATTCGACACCCACTCGTTTACGATGTCAGCTGCATTTTTTGCATTGCTAACACTGATCGGAACAGCTTCGGCCTGAAAGGAGTTTCTCATACTTCATTATACTCGGGGACCAGACTATATTCGTTATTAATGTATATCCGGTTAGCCAATCGAGATCACATCCTTCTCCCGCCCCTGGAGATCGCTAAGGAGTTTTCTGTACTTGCTGGCCACCTGCTTTTTGTCCATCGGTAGTTTCAAAGCGGTTCGTAGTTCGTCAGCGGTCTCCCTTCAGCTCCCATGTACGCCATGGCCATAGCTATCTCAACGGAGGCGGAGAGGAAATAAGATTCTTCTGGGCATTATCCTTGGCTAAGAGTCGATAAAAGTCTTCCGTGAACCGGCCAGCCACTGACGTGGCCAACAAATGAGACCTGATAAAAGTTATTGTCTGGTATGACTGGAATTGGATTTTCTACTCACACAAGTATTCATTTGAAACTATGATTGAAACGTTTGAAGATTCATCGGGCAGAACTCTGTATATATACCCATTGGTTAACCAAGTCAGATATGGAGATTGGACATAGAACATTTCCGTAAGAAATCAATTATAGTTTTCTATATCCAAGCTTTTAAACCGAAACGTCGTTGAACTTAAATGTGCAATCGTCTTTTTATCTTACGTCGTTAAGAGTACAATTTTGGGCATTTACAACTTAAGAACTGGCCAATTTAATTCCACAGTAACTCCAGTCTGTTACCAGACTCCGGTTGAATTCCAACCGCTTATCGCCGAGCCTCTCTCCACCACGTGTGTCATACAAAAATATCTTTAGACTGATGGCATTTCTAAAGAATTCATTTTTATTTCATTTTAGGAGAGTATTTTGATTTTGTCTTAGAAATGGCCAGAAATGTTAGCAAATGGCTACTGGTTGTTGAAAATGTTTCCTTCTGCCTTCTTGGCTTTTTCGGGCTTAATCTAAAGTTGGAAAGAGTTAATACACAGGACGGAGGTTACTCATAAATTGAAATGTATTTTATAAAGGTTGCTCTTTAATTTTAAGAATGTATTTAAAAGGCTTTAAAGATTAATTAGAGAATGATTGTTGACCCAGACTTGACCAAGGGTGGTCTACTGATGGCTAAAATGGGCCAAAAGTATTCGAAGTATTCGAAAATCATGTCTGAGCTTTAGAGCAGATAATATCATTCACTTAGGATTTACTACGTGGCCTTGAAAATAGACGGTATTTTCATCCGAATAATGTATGCAAATGGATGATCGGCTTTGAATTCCATTATATCTCTTGTGGTCTTGAATTTGCGGACTGCCATATGAAAAATTCAACCACTTGCAATTAAAGAAGTTATGATAAAAAAACGAAAATTTAACGGAAATCATCCCTTACCTGTGACAGCCGTGCCTCTGCGCCTCTTCATTGACCTCAACGAAGGCTTTTGTAAGACTTTATCGATATAGATTCTGATTTTTGCACAAGGCCTTCAAAGTTAGCACCGTTTCCGATGCCTTTCGAATGCCCAACTGTAGTAAAGAATAATACCATAAGCTCCTGAAATCACATTCAAGACATACTGACCCTTTTAAGATAACTAATTAGTTCCTCTTCAACTCGATTTTGAACTTTGGCAGTTCGACATACACACTCTTTCGTACAATGGTCTAGAGATCCTTTATCTTGTCCTCCAATTCGCTGAGCCCATCCACCTTGTTGGGCAGAAAGATGAGCATCGACAGACTGGAGTTTCGATACGGCAATTCGATTACTTTGGCATCCAAGTCATACAATAATCTGCTTTAAATGTACACGCATGGTCATCATTGTGACAGGTATGCGTTCCGTGTCGGATATTTTAAATCTTTTTGTTCGCTGAACTCTTTGTCAAACTTGTACTTCCATTGACCTTTGAATAAATGGCATTCAGGAGCAAAGCTCTTAGATCAGTGCTCATGTCTTCAGGGGTAACCACCTCGTTGATCTTGCCACGTGTCTGTTTCGACACCACTGGTTTACGATGTCAGCTGCATTTTCAGCATTGCTAAGGCTGATGGGAACAGCTTCGGCCTGAAAGGAGTTTCTCATACTCTTATACTCGGGGACCAGACTATATTCGTTATTAATGTATACCGGTTAGCCAAATCGAGAA